CTTTGTTCTGAACGTTCATCAGTATTATAAATCAAAAGAGAAATATGAACGTTAGTTTTTACTGAAATGATCAAATAAAGTCAACATTTCACTGAGCTGTGTGGGGTTTGTTCAATTTTTAAAAGATGTTTGAATGGTGATATACACAGTGATAGGTGTTAAAGACTAACGTTTATAATAAATACATTTGTATTGATTTTAAGATATTTTCATAGTTCATACAATCATACGTATTGGGATCATTTGTATTAATGTGGACCGGAGAGAGAGGGTGAAGAGCATAAGTTTCACTTTCCTTTTTTATTTCAATTCCAACTTTGGTCATGAAGAATATGTTTCTCTGTTGTCCACATTAATAAAGCATAAAACAACAGCATCAGAGCACGGTGCAGAGTCTAGGTGAGTTTACAGTAGTCCCTCCTTCTTATTATACATCCATGTTGTAGTCCGTTGTATAGAACACTGTAGTTTCCATAGTTTCACCACAGCAGCAGACGCACAAAATGACCTCCGCTGGCGCATCATAAACACGTCGGATAGTGAAAGTGCAGTCGGATTCTCTAAAGTACCGCAGTCTCTTCTCCTAAGTCCTTTTGAATTCTCCTATCCACTATCCCTTAACCCCGTGATGTTTCACTCAGAGGTCAAGGAATAGACGATAGGGTTAGACGTTAGGAGCTGATTTTTGGACTATTGGACCGCAACCCTGGTGTTTGAAAAGTGCTATACACATAATTAATTAATACATTAATTACAAGTATTGTGTACCTATTTATGTGGAACCCTATGTGAAATGTAACCATCCTGTTTTTGTCCTCTCCCTCAGCTTCCCTGGAAGTCTCTAGCCAGTGTGGTCCAGTTCTACTACATGTGGAAGACTACCGACCGCTACATCCAACAGGTAGGTCTACAGTGAGCCACACAGTATCAAAAGGCACTGTTTGGTTTTGGTTTGACTGCTTTTTTACAAACAAATTTTCTTTCTGATTTTCAGAAACGACTAAAGGCAGCAGAGGCAGACAGCAAGCTGAAGCAGGTGTACATCCCCACCTAGTGAGTGTCCCTGAAACTGCTACACTGAGGACTTACTTGAAGTTGGAACTGCTGTGAGAATAACTGCCTTTCCTCTCTGTGCTCTCCCCCCTCACCAGCACCAAGCCCAACCCAAACCAGATCATGGCCCCCAGCAGCAAGCCCGGCATGAACGGGGCACCAGGCTTCCAGAAAGGACTCAGCTGTGAGAGCTGCCACAGTAAGTACACACTGGGGGGGGGGTTTATGGGGACAGTTCCCATGAGTTTTAAGAGGAACAATTACACCAGAATGTATTGTTTGTATCACAGCACTGGTCAAAAATCTAAGCTAATATGATACCTGAGTTTCAGGACTGATATCAAAACTATAGCTTGAAATGATCCGGTTAAATATCATCTGCATTAACAGGCCTGAAAACAATTGACAAAGAAGGCTTTATAAATAAGGACATCATCAAGGCATTCATATTTACTGACTTTTGATTGAGGAATTTGGGCCTGTATAACCTTGGAGCACTGTCAGGGCTGAAGAGCCGTTTGTGCCTGTGACGCTGTCGGCTGGTTTTGAAGGATATGCAAACGCTGCTCATAAACTCTCTCAGGCCAGAATTGCCACAACAGGAAAGTCAGTAACGGTCACCAAGGCGCATCATATCCACTGTATCCACTGTAAACTATGTGACCATGTATAAGAGACCATAAACAAGTGATAATCACAAATGACCACCTGTTAGCAAAACGTTTTAACCAAACCAGCCACATTTAACATTACAGTAAGTTCCTGGTGTTAAACATGGCAATTTCTGTGGAAAAAGACAAATAACAATTTGAATAAAAAGATGAGGAATTAAATTCCTATCTTTCGTCTGTATTGACAAAGCCTTTGTGCTTTTATGGACCAAACAGTAACCCTGCAGACTCTTGTCTCATTCAAGACTCCATCTTTAAACCAATACACTCTCAAAAGATGTAAAAGCAACTATAGAAATCAAACCCTGGGAGCCTGCTGTCTTTGACTTTTGGTTCTTATATAAAGTAGTAGCAGCAGCCCGTTTAGACGCCCTCTCCTAATGTTGGTCCTCCCTTCCACCAGCGGCCCAGTCTCCTCAGTGGTATGCCTGGGGGCCTCCCAACATGCAGTGCAGACTGTGCGCCTCCTGCTGGATCTACTGGAAGAAGTACGGAGGCCTGAAGACCCCTACACAGCTAGAGGGCGCTGCTAGAACCGGCTCTGTGAGTACCATTCAACATTTCAGTCAACAGCAGAGAAGATGTCAATCAAACTGTTACAATGTTAGTGAGTTATGAGGAAGACATGGCTGTTGACACATTGTCTTCAAGAATGGACCTCTTGAGTTGCGTCCTTATGGTTTGCTCCCTCCCGTCCAGGAGACCGGCCCCCGTGGTCACATGACCCGCCAGGAGGTGCAGGGCTTATCGCCGTTTACTCGCAACGAGGGGCGGGCCAAGCTGCTGGCCAAGAACCGGCAGACATTCATCCTGCAGACCACCAAGCTGACCCGCATTGCCCGGCGGGTGTGTGAGGACATCCTGCAGCCGCGGAGGGCCGCACGCAGACCCTACGCCTCCATCAACGCCAACGCCGTCAAGGCTGAGTGTATGTAAAAACACACACACACGTTATTAATGATGTTAAACATTATTTATGTGCGAACATCAGAGGTGGTGGAAGTACTCAGATCTTGTACTTGAGTAAAAGTAGAAGTACCAGAGTGTAGGAATACTCTGTTACAGTAAAAGTGAAAGTAGAAAAGTATTCTCATCAAAATATAGTGAAAGTAGCGACAGTAAAAGTAGTCGTTGTGCAGATTGATCCATTTCAGAATAATATATATGATATGTTTTATAATGATTGATCATGAAAGTGTTCTCAAAGTTGGTAAAGGTGCAGCTAGTTTGAATGACTTTGTATACTGCAGGGTAGCTTGTGGATTTACTCCAGGTGGAACTAAAGTCTGATTTAACACTTTTCACATCATTCATCCAAAGTAGCTCAAGATATTAAATAAACATTATTGACTTTTAAATTGTAGTGGGGTAGAAGTAGCAACAAATTATACTCAAGTAAAGTACAAGTCCCTCAAAATGTTACTATGGTCCAGTACTTGAGTAAATGTACTTAGTTACTTTACACCTCTGGCTACCATCATAAATGTATAATACAATTTGTCCTGTAAACTTTTTGGAGCTAATAAAAAGATAACATTAAGTTTGTACAGTTAGTATCACAAAATATGTATTTATGTTGTGGTATTCCTTCTTGTAACTATGTAAATTAACAGAGTTTAATCTAAACCACATTGCACATGTGTTAAAATGAATGATGTGTGTGTTCAGGTATAACCAGGCTGCCCAAAGCCACGAAGACCCCCGTAAAGACGAAGGTGATCCCTCGGCCGTCCCTGGCCAACATCGTGAAGGATTTAGGTAAGAGCGGGTCCTGTGGTCTGATCCCCCCCACCACCATAACGGGTTGTTAAGTGTTCTTGTTTCCCCGCAGCCATCACAGCTCCTCTGAAACTGAAGGCATCCAGAGGCCCCCCCACCCCCATCAACAGGAACCAGGCCAGCACGCCCCGCGTGGGACAAAGCCTGCTGGGAAAGAGAGGCTTTGAAAGCGTAAGTGTAACGCACAAATAAACACACCATACACCGTGTTTTACACTCACCTGTAGTGGCTTTGCTTTTGTCTCAAACCCACCTCCTTTCATGAATTCAATCAACTTGTTATGGAACTTTCTGTTATACTACAAACACATTTTCCAGCGGTTCACTGAAGGAGGGGGTCGATTGGATGCCCCTGGTTTGCACAAAGTAGCCTAGACCTCAGCTTTATGCAAATTAGAATTGGCCAACTTGACACTTAAATACAGAATAAATGGGAAGGTGGTAAATGACGGATTCGATAGACAAGCACTATTACCCATAACACCCTTCCACGTCTTTTTTTCAGGTACTTGTGTAAACTTAATGCATTCATGGAAAAGCTGGAATGAAGATGTAAAAGTGCGATCATCTCAGAATCAAACGGAGTCGCCTCTTGTAGCTTCACAGTTCGCAGTCTAACCATGAGAACCCCACAGCTTGCTCTGTCAGTGATCATTATTCAGTAAAACAACAGGGTTTATTCACGGTTTGGTCTTTCATTGGTTCACAGGCTGCAGGCGTGCCCTACCCAGCCAATGGGAGGCCGTACACTTCAGGTATGAGGACCACCTCGCAGTCGGTCATCAAGAGGCAGAAGGTCAGCCAGGGAGAGGCCCCCAACCCTGTGGTGTTTGTGGCTACCAAGGACACCAGGTACGTCTCACCTTATTACATCCTATAACCTCTTCAATAAAGATTGCATCGTAGTAAGGTATCAGAATCCAAATTCCTTTATTTGTCCCACAACAGGGACATTTCCGGTATTACAACATCAGAAGTGTAGTGCAGATAAAGTGAAGAGATTAGACTTACATATTGAAAAAGAATAAGAAAGTAGGCAAAGGTGATAAGTACACCATGGTAAAAACCTAAGTAGCTATATTGTGTTCTTTTTTAACAGTGACCTTGTTAAATTAAAGAAGCTGGTACTGTTTACAGATTGTAAATAAATTGAAAAAATATCTAAAGCGTAAATTGCACACAGCCTATGTGTGTGTGGTTCTCTGTGTGTGTGTGTGTGACCAGTTGTTCTGGAAGGTTAAACCATAATAATTATGTCCATTTAGGAACCTTGTGTATATTGTTATTAATGTTATATTGTGCAGGGACGGAAAAAAACATAAGACCTTTTGGAAATTCTAACTTGTTTTAAATGTAAAAGGTTCATAAAATAAAAACACAACACTGTGACACTCAGTTGAATTTTATGTCCAACTGCTAAATTCGTTATTCAGTCACATTTTTTGTTTTGTGGTCCATATCTCATTAAAATATCTAATGTTAGTAACTATTAAAGAAAAAATGGGGACAATTCTGTTTGAATGTAGTTTGACCTTTGTAACTGCTGTGCAGACATTCTGATGAAATAGGGCCTCTAACTAATTACCTTAAATAAACTCACTAATTAATTAATCCAGTTCAATATGCATTATTCTTATTCTTATCATTCTTTATGAGTGCAGTAACGGTAAGGTATCTAATTACTTATTTATAACAGAGATGGTCAAACTAAAGTGGCGGTGAAGGGTTCTCCCGTGAGAGGGCGATCAAGAAAAGAGAGCGAGGGTGAGGGAGTTTACAGATGGAAAGACACAGAAAGACAGAAGCACAATAACAACAAGTAGGCTATATTTAGGTGTTTTTTGTGTAAATAACCAACTGTTTCAAGAGGAAGTAAAGTCCCCTGGTGTGTCCCCTATACTCTAACGCAGGGGTGCCCACACTTTTTTGGCTGGTGAGCTACTTTTGAAATGACCAGCTCACCGAGGTCTACCAACCAAAAATAAAATCCCAAATTGCAAGGGTTTCTGAATAACACATTTTATTTATACATGGGATAACTACAATAGGACTGCAACAAACGACTAATTTGATAATCGATTAATCTATCGATTAATGAAACGATTAATCGACTATTCGGCCTATTACTGTATGCCTTTCAAAATTTCTCAAACGCTCTTATTTAGCCATCAACTTTTAGATTTAGCTTGAGGTTGTTTTAGGCATGTGGAAACTAACAAT